GCAAACAAAAACATGGACTCCACACAATCAGTACCCTTTGTGAATAATACAAAGTTTGGAAAAGTTGCTCCGAGAATCCCCAGCCACTGTGTCCAGCAGTGAACTGACTTGGGGAAATGGTGGAACTGTAATTTTTAAAAGTAACTTTTCCTTGCTAAGCTTTTCTGTTAATTCAGGACATTGTCTGGTGACAACTGCAATATCAGAAGATGTTTCTTTTTATTTCCTGCCTTCCCAGATGACAACTTGTCAGGGATCAGCGGGATGGAGGTGGACGACCGCATCTCCTACCTGGAGCAGCGCCTGCAGTTGCAGGAGGACGAGATCCAGGTGCTGAAGGCGGCCCTGGCCGACGTCCTCCGACGCCTGAGCACCTGCGAGGAGAATGGGCTCAGCCTGCAGAAGAAGGGACCCAACAAAGGTATCAGCCACCACGGAGTGGGGGGGGGGAGACTTGGGTGGGGGTCCCCTCATCTCCTGCGTGCAGAGGAGACCTCTTTCGATCTGCAGCCTCACCTTTGAGAGGAAGCTCAGAGCGTGCAGGGAAATGATATTTTGAGTGACACCTCCCACAGCCCTAGCTCCCCCCTCCCCAAGCATGGCCAGAGGGATGTGGGCCTAGCAGCTGTAGACCAAAGGTCATATATTGCCATTCAACTCTGATACGCTCAAAGATTTCCCCACAAACCCTGGATTCACATCCTGTAGATTCCTTCCCACAGTCTTTTCCATGCCATCTTCTAGCCAAATCCAACCTGATTCCGCCATCCTAACTGCGTATTTATGTGAATTGCAGGGGCCCTCTCTTGCTCCCCAAAATGCCTTGTGGGGCCCCACCAGCTGGTGGGAAAGGTGGGCCTGCCTCTCCAGGTGAGGGTCTGGCAGGCAAATATTGTGTTAATGGGCAGCCCCCCTGGTCACCAGAAGGGTTGGGGGCTGCCAGTTCCCAAGGCTGGTCTTGGGGTCCTGTTCCAGGGCCGCTTGCCCAGAGAACAAGGGGACAAAGCTGTCCTGGGTCCCCACCCCAGCCCCAAGCAATTTCCCTCTCATTTAAAAGACAGCCCTCCTGAGGTAAACTAACCCACCAACCACACTAGCGAAGTGACAAACGGAAGTTTCTGAACAGCCTTCAAGGGCAGCACCATGTACAACCCATTACAGTAGTCTAACTAAGATAATAGCAAAATGTAGACAACTGTGGCCAGGTGATGCTTACCAGACATTGAAGTCCCATCTCTTTTTGCAGTTTACCAGCTGCTGAGGGGGCTGCCTTCCCGTCCCAGTCTGAGCAACGGGATCCACTCACAGAGGCGAGGCTACTCCACCTCCCCCTCCTCCCCCAAGCGAGAGCTGCTTCCTGGGAAAAGGTGACGTGTCTGCTCGCAAGAGTGGTTTGCGCCCGTGTCTGCTATTGCTCCCCCTCTGTAGCAATACTTTTATTATTATTCATTGAGCACAATGATTTAATTTGGATTAAGAATAAGCAGGGTGTGCGCATGTATGTGTGTGTGGGGGGGGGAGTGTCACCTTGAAATGCCACTGTATTTTAAATTCACTACCCTGTGATGTAAAGTGGGAAACCAACTCGAAGGCCAGTTGGGGATGAAAAGGGAAGGATTAAAACTTTGATAAGCAGGAGAGGAATTTTCATTCCTTCAAGTTTTAAGGAAATTTTTAGTTTTTATTCAGAAGAGATCAGTAGTTTTAAAGTTTAGTTTTGAGGGAGGGAATTATTATTATTATTATT